TCCCTTCTCCTTCATTCTCCTCTTGGGATCTTGGGCATGCACACACACACGCCCAGCATGAGTTTAAGCCACCGGGTTCGGAACTCGAACCGCGGTCGACTACGTGGGAGTCCAGCGACATAGCCATTATGCTAACTGCTGGTCCCAATTTTTTATTTCATTCTTTTTTTTTTTATTCAGTTTTTTTTTTTCCAGACACACACAGACACACACACACACACACACACACACACACACACACACCACACACAAAGTGAGAAAGCAAGCCATCAGATCTAGTACTTGATCGTCAGCCACGTGGGAGTAAGTGTCCAGTGCCTTAACCACCATGCCACATGCTGGTCCCAGTTTTACTTATTATTTATTTATTTATTTTTAGAGAGAGGATTTTGCTCTAGGGTGTGCGTGCTTGCTGGAGAGACAGAGACAGAAAGCAAGAAATCACCCCTCTGAGTGATGACCACGCCACAGTCCCATCTCCTTCATTCTCCTCTTTGAATTTTGGGCATGTGCACACATGCGCCCAGTGTGAGTTTTTGTTTTGTTTTGCTATAGTGCACATGCGCTTGCCAGAAAGAGAGAAACAGAGAGATAGAAAGCGAGAAATCATCCCCCAGGGGGTATGGCCACGCCGCAATCCCTTCTCCAGTCTCCTCTTGGGATCTTGGGCACGCACGCACACGCGCCCGGCGTGAGTTTAAGCCACCAGGTCCGGGACTCAAACTGCGGTCGACTATGTGGGAATCCAGCAACATAGCCATTACGCTAACTGCTGGCCCTGTTTTTAAGGAATTATTTATTTTAATTTTGTTTATTCATTCATTGACCAGAGAGATAAACAGAGAAACTTAGAGGGAGAAAATGAGAAAGCAAGCCACCAAGTTCGGGACTTGAATCATGGTTGGCGATGTGGGAATGTCTAGTACCTTAGCCACCAAACCACCTGCTGGTCCCCCCAGTGTGAGTTTTAAGTCACTAGGTCCAGAACTCGAACTGTGGTTGGCCATGTGGGAGTCCAGCAACACCACCACCGAGCCCCTAATTTAAAAATTTTAATATATTGGGGCCAGAAGGTGGCATGGTAGGTAAGGATGCCGGATTCCTACATGGCCCGACTGTGGTTCAAGTGCTGGACCTCGTGGCTTGCTTTTTCACGTTCCCTCTCTCTCTCCCTCTCTGGTCAAATTAAAATAAAGAAATAAATAATGTTAACTAATTATTTTTTAAAAAGTTAAGTAAAACAATTCTTTTTTTAGTAAAAACATTTTTATGACATAACAATTGTATTTTTTTTTTTTTTTTTTTTTTGGAGGTTTTTGCCTTAAGTGTGTGCCCTCACCAGAGAGAGAGAGAGACACAGTGAGAGGGAAAGTGAGAAATTCCCCCTGGGAGGGATGACCATGCTACGATTCCTTCTTCATTCTCCTCTCGGGATCTTGGGCACACATGTGCCGGCTTGATTTTCAAGCCACTGGTCCAGGGACTCGAATCACAGTTGGCCACGTGGGAGTCCAGCAACATAACTGCTTCGCCATCTGCTGGTCCCCACAATGTAATTTATTTGAGTGTTGTCAAGCACATTGTCTGCACTGTATTTTATAACTAGACGTTGCTCTGTCAGCGTGCAGTGTTACCTGTTACCCGTGCTCGTCTCTGTCGCCCCAGTTCTCAGCCTCGCAGTCATTCTTCACCTCTCTCCCTCTAAGAGCTCATTATTCCGGTTTCCACACGTGAGGAACATGGGTGTTTCGCCCTGTGCCTAGCTTACTCACGTGACATGTGAGGTCCTCCAGGCTTGCTCACCTAACATCGAATGACTGCATTTCACCTTCGTAAGGGCTGCGTAGGATTCCTCTGCGTGTGTGTGCGTGTAACAGTTTTCCTTCACTTCCCAGAGAATGTGTGCACGCGCTTGAGAGATGAGGAGGGAGAAGGCATCCCTGATGAATCACTGTCATGCTGCAGTCTTCTCCCTCCATTTCTCCATCCTGTCAGGATTTCGGGTACTCGTGCACGTGCACCCAGTGTGTCTTTCAAGCTGCCAGGGCTGGGGCTCAGACCACAGCCAGCCGCCTGGAATCCAGCTTCCTTGAGCACTAGGCCGTGGGGCCAGCCCACGCCATTTCCTTTGTTCATCAGCTGGTGGACACAAGGTGCCCTGCGTATCTGGCTGTTGTCAGCAGTGCTGCCGTGAACACTGGGCAGACATCCGCATGGCACGCTGGATTCCGTTTGCACTCTGATCGTCCTTGTCATCATGTCCTCCGAGATGTCGCCCCTGGGGTCTCTTAGCTGGAGAGCCTTGCCCTTCCCAGGCCCTAATTTACCTGCTCCCCTTGGCATGGGGAAAGGTGACCTCTGCAGTTGTCCTCGGAGTGACTGTCGCCTGTGCCTGGTGAGAGCTGCTCTTCTCTGGTCCTGGTCTGCTATCCTGCCAGAGATTCCATCGGCCTGCTTTGGCAACATGGCGCTTCGGCGGGGCTGTTGCTTCTGCAGCCAGTGGCTGTGGGATCTTCTGGTTGCAGGAGGAAAGGCCTTTCCAAGGACGCTCCACTTTTTGCCCTGCTTCCTGTACTGTCCCCACCTTTCATCCCATGGCTGTTGTCCTCAGAAAAGTCACAGCCCTCCTTGATGGAGGCCTTGCTCTGCGCTTGACCTATGCTGTGTCCACCATGTGTGTCACTTCAGTCCTCCCCAGAGGTCCTGTCCCCATTTCATCATTGAGCCAGAGAGGTCAGCCACTCGTCCAAGGAGTGAAGGACCAGGACTCCATGATGTCAGACCCTGCTCCCCCACACACACTGTGCTAGCCAGGGCCCAGTCTCCTGGAATGCCTTCCAGCCCCGCTGTCCACTTGGGAGCCAGAGCCACGTTGTACAAACCCAAAGTGGGTCTGACTGCTGCCTAAGGAAAGCCTACTGTCATCAGAACAGAGCCCTTCTGACTCTAGTTAAAAACAGTTGTTGAGGGACTAGCAGTTGGTGTAATGGCTATGTCGCTGGACTCCTATGTAGTCAACCGCGGTTCAAGTCCTGGACCTGGTGGCTTAAACTCAGGCCGGCACATCTGTGTGCGTGCCCAAGATCCCGAGGAGAATGGAGAAGAGATTGCAGTGTGGCCATTCCCCCTGGGGGGTGAGTTGTCTCTCTCTGGCTTTCTGATAAGTACATGTGCCCTATAGCAAAACAAAAAACAGTCGTGGAAGGACAAGTGGATGGCATAATGCTTACATCACGTAGTAGTTGACCATGGTTCGAGTCGCAGACCTGGAGGCTTGAAACTCACACCACCTGTGTGTGTGTGCATGCCCAAGATCCCGAGAACAGAATACAGAAGAGATTGCCATGTGGCCATCCCCAGGGGGGTGTGTGATTTCTCACTTTCTGTCGTAGTCTGTTGAAAGCATGCACTATAGCCAAAATCTCTCTTTTAAAAAGGGGGGGAACTATCAGGTGGCATGGTGGTTAAGGTGCTGGACACTCCCACATGGCCAACCATGGTTCGAGTTCCAGACCTGATGGCTTGCTTTCTCACTTTGCCTCTCTCTCTATGACTTTCTCTGGTCAAATTAAAATAAATGAATGAATAAATTAAATTAAAAAAAAAAAAGTTGTGGGGCCAGAAAGTGGCATGGAGGTTGGAGTGTTGGATTCCCACATGGCCAACCATGGTTCGAGTTCCAGACCTGATGGCTTGCTTTCTCACTTTGCCTCTCTCTCTATGACTTTCTCTGGTCAAATTAAAATAAATGAGTGAATAAATTTTTTTAAAAAAACTTAAAAAGAAATTTAAATAACAACTAAAGTAAAATAATTCTCGGGGCCAGCAGGTGGTGTGGTGGTTAAGATGCTGGACTCACACATGGCCGACCACAGTTCAAGGCCTGGACC